GTGCACACAGAGGTGGCTGTTCGAAACATGTTTCTCACAATCGCACTCTTTGTGTGTGAAGGGTGGGAAGAAAGGAAATGAACGAGAATGTTCTGATTACTTGGCTTTCGGTACCACTTTGTCAAATAACCGCTATTTGATAGGTTTATTTGAACGTTCAAAAACGGAAACCAGTTTTTTCTCGGTTTCTCCCGGGTGAATTTTATGTACTCTGACTGCTCGTTCAATAATTCAAAGCGTTTGTCCATCTCCTCCTGCGTAGAGAAGACAACAAAACAATCATCTACATATTTGCAGTAGAGTAGTGGCCGAAGATCGAGAACAGGGGCTTCTATCTTAGACATAAACACAATGGCAAGGTTTGGTGCCAGTCGCTGTCGCATTGCCAACCCCCTTATTTGGGCGAAATATTTCCCAGACCATCTGAAAATTGAGCAGTTTAGGCACTCTTTTAAGAGAGCCATTAGCTGCTGGATGGACAAGCCATACATAATCTTAACCGTTTTATTTACCGCCTTTTTCTTTTTAATGGTAGGATATGTTGCGAAATATAACTCGTATATAGTGCTGAGATATTTGCAAAACTCCGGACCGCAGGTGTATGCGGTGGGGAACGAACGCGCGCTATTGTCCTTTCCGGGGAGTAGCACAATTCACCACCACACCATCCGGCTCCTTCGTTTTGCCTGTATCTCAGCTAGTTCTACTGATCTTTTGCCATCAGCAATCACCCGTCAATGGTATTGATCTGGGGAGCCCAAATCGGCATTGAACCCACTTAAGCTGAGGTTTAGTTTTAATCACAATCTTAACCCTTTTATTTACTGCCTTTTTCTTTTTAATGGCAGGGTATGTTGCGTTGACGGGTGATTGCTGATGGCGAAAGTTCAATAAAACTAGCTGAGATACAGGCAAAACGAAGGACCAGGATGGTGTGGTGGTGAAGTGCGCTACTCTCCGGAAAGGACAATAGCGCGCGTTCGTTCCCCACCGCATACACCTGCGGTCCGGACGTTTGCAAGTACCTCAGCATTATATACAAGCCATACATATTTATACTTCCTTCATGTTCAAGAAGAAGTTCGAAGATGGCTTGCATTGCGGGGTCATTCAATACGTTGGTGTACAACGCGGTAACGTCGAAAGACTCGATCACGTACGCGTTATTAGGAGACGCGTTACGTAGACGTTCTAGGAACATTTGGGTGTTTGTGAGGTGAGCTGGAATGTGGTTAAGCAACTGGGTAAGTATCAGGCTTAAAAACCAGGTTATTCTATCCGTTGGCCCGCCTACACAGCTGATGATTGGTCTAACCTTAAATGATGACGGATTGGTTGACGCATGATCATCAGGTGATACCAACTTATGTGTTTTGATAAGTAGGTATAGGACGGGACATGTTGGTCTATCGATTTTAAAGTGCGAAATAACCGATGATTTTAAACCCGCAGCCTTTGCCACACTAACCCATTGATTGTTTAGTTTTCGGCATTGACTTTTATATTCCTTTTCAGAGGATGGGCGATAGAGAGTAGCATCACTAAGATGTTCCTCTGTTATCTCAACATCCAGCTGGCGAGGGATAACTACGAACTCTCCCCCCTTATCACTAACAGACAATCTTATTGTTTTCGAGTTTATTAATTTTCTAATTTCTCGCATGCCACATTTTTGTGCGGCTGTAAGGTTAGAGATAAACCTTCTATCGCGGTAGTGATTAAGGGTCTTGAGAACGCCGTCCGAAAACATGCGGAATTTTATGTCAACTCCATCGTTAGGGCCCTGCTTCCTAAAAAACGTTTTAGGGAAAGGAGATGGTGGTAGTTTTCCCGCCTTTTGATTTTTATCTCTGTTTAATGTTTCTTGCTTGGCCTGATAGCGGAGTCGATCTTGAAGCTCATAAAGGTTGCATGTTATGCTACGCAGGGTCGTTTTAGAAATGGGCTATGATGGTGCAAAACTTGGGCCCAATTCTAATAGCGAACGCGCACTATCAGGTATTGTTATGCCCCCAATCACGATCAGGATGAGATATTTAGAATGATTTGCAAAAAGTAAAGAAGGAGAATAACTGTGATTTGTATAAAGTGACAAAGGCTAGTCTCTATGCGTCGTTCTCTTTTTCAGCAATCGCGAGGTTGTTATTTAGCACACGTTTACTTCCTTAGAGGATGACAGATACAACAACGGTGGCTGACGTTTCTTTGCTCTTATCTCGTATCGCTAAGCGGCTGTTCTTCGTGGGTAGAAGCCAAGTAAAAAACGGCTTTAAAGAAGGCGATACTGCCGAAGCATCAGCTATTGTTGTGTTGTATGTGTTATTTTTGTAAGGAAGTAAACGTGTACTGAATAACAACGCAGCGATTGCTGAAGAAGAGAACGACAATGCCAAGTTAATAGAAAGCTGATCTTGGGAACTGGTCTCTGTGTTGAACAATACCCATGTTTTCATATTCAGTTGATAACGAAGAGGAAAAGGAAGGAAGAATAAGCTGTTTTTCAGAGAAAGGAAAACATTTAAATTCCGAACGACTTTTCATAATACGGACCTTGGTATTTTTCTAAATAGCGGCCGTTTGAAATTTATTTAAGGTTTACTGAATCACAAAGGAATCCGTCGACCGATCCGCTTATTCTGTGGTTAAACGGAGGACCAGGCTGCTCTTCTTTGGGAGGTATGTACTATTTCGACTGTCGGACAACAGTGTAGCAGGATCAGCAACTGTCGAGGTTTAAAATCGTACTCAATAGTTTTAACTTATTATTTACTGCCTACTCCTTTTAATGGCAGGGTATATTGCGAAATATAATTTTAATAATGCTTAGATATTTGCAAAACTCCGGACTGCAGGTGTCTGCGGTGGGAAACGAACGCGCTATTGTTGCTTCCGGTGAGTAGCGCGTTCACCACCACACCATGCAGGTCCTTCGTTTCGCCTGTCGCTCAGCTACTTCTATCTATCTCTGCCATCAGCAATCACCAGTCAGCAGGATTACACATAAAACATTTTAGATATTAAAGTACTCAATAGTGGCAAACTTTTTTCCTGAATGATATATATGGCAAAGTCAAATATATTCCTAAAAACACGTTCCTGAAAATTGTGGATTTTTGACGACCTGAGAATATGGCAAGTTTATAGAAGAGCCCTTATTCTACTATGTAAGATTATATGAGGCTTTTATAAATGATATTTCCATTTTTGCTTTTTTAAAATTCATACTTTCGAAGAAAAGTGAAAGACTGATTGTATAAACGATTCATTCGTTGACAGCATCGTGTCTTGATGGACGAAAAGCGGTTTGACTGATGAAGTGTACTATGAGAAGACATTAACTTAAGAGAAAGGTTCAAAGCCGTTCCAGAACTCCGGTAAGAACTAGGTGTCAGCAACCTTGGAGGTTGTCAATTGAAATAGAAAGGAAAGAAAGTTGACATGGTATCGCAGAACTTAAGGAACAGCAAAAGATCGTCGTCTGCCGTGAACTTGTATGTGAGAAGAAGCGGATTCTGTAAATTGATACCATTCTACTCAACGTTCAAGAAGAACTAGAGCAGAAACGTTGAGAGGCGAACGAAAACTTGTCGGAAAATGTGAGCACTGACTGAAATTCCTCCAGTCTTGGCAAATCCAATCACACAACGTTATCCGAAATTCATCGCAATACACCAGGAACGGACTCCGGTGCTCTATAAGGTAAGTAAAGGCTTTATCGATGCCCGCTCGAGTCACACGATGTTCGATGGGTTCTAGAGTGGGACCAATGCGAAAACGAAGATTCTTGAGGTAAGAAGAAACGAGTGGCGTAGGAGACAAGTGAGTTTTGAAAAAGACGAAAAAGTTTTTCCATTGATCAACGTCATTCGTCACAAATCGCTTTTTAAAAAAAACCATTCAACAACTGCTTGATATGGAGCGACAGTTATCAATACCACAGAAAGTTAATTGTAGATTTTCTTCGTATTTTTGTTAATGCCGAGGTTAATAGAAAGTCGGTCGTGGCAGTTAATTGTAGATGTTTTGATTAAACTACGTTCGTAGCGGAAGTCGTGGCTGTTACGTCGGGCCAGTTTGAACATTACCCCAAAATGAGTGAAGTTTTTAAGCAGATAAACGCACCGTTAATGACAGAACAGCATATTTGGAAAGAAAACTTTGAAAGGAAGGAATGACGTTTATTATTTTTTCATCCTACCCTATTTCCCTTCGACGTATTTTTATTCGTGGACTTGCTATTCGTTGAACTGTTTTCAGGTCTCATCGAAGAGCTTGGCCCTTTCAAGCTGAAGCACTACGGCAATACCGTCTATTCAAATAGGCATTCATGGAATCTTGTAAGTGTAACGACTCCGGTTGAAATCACATTACTGTTCTAGAAAAATTACTTTCATTGCCAAAGATATCTCTTCAGAATTAAATAATATTCGACCTTCTGATCAGAAAATTCTGATGATGACTAAAGTGACAGATTCTATCGCTTTTTGCATATTTTAAGCTTCGACATGAGATGGATGGTCAGCGAAAGGCGATCGAGTTTTGGAGCATGATAACACATAAGCAACCAATACGCCTAATTGTTATCAACTATGAAAAAGTGTTTGCCAGCGTAAAAACGAATGCAATGCTATCGGCACTCGTCTACCAAGGAATGCACTCGTCCTGCATAAGAACTCTATCTGACCATTCAGGAATGCAGCATAATTATACAGCTTTTTCATCGGCCTCTTACCATACCCATAAGAAAAGGGGTTCGGAAAGACAAACAATATCGCAAAAGCTCTTTTGTGTTGCACTGCAATGGATAATGAATCTACTCGATTGTGATGAGAAAGGCATACATATTGCTGGGTAATTTCTTTCAAGTCTCCGTTTTGCTGGCAACATCGCCATCTTCTCCAGAAATACCAGGAGGGACGATAATGAATGAGCTCAAGAAGGCGGCGCATAATTCGGAAGAAGAACCAGTTTCTGAAAAACCAATAGCGCAAAAGCAAAGGGATCAGCGTGGGTAGTTCTCTGATTAGGGAGACCTCCTTGTATGTATACCTTAGGCGCGCAATGAATATGGAGAACGACATGAAGGAGGATGTAGCCAGAAGGAGGAGAGCTGCTTGAGCCGCATTCTGACCTCACAGTGGAGCCCCTATTAGTGGTATTCTAAATCACCCAAAAATCTGCCCTCAATTTTCTGATTCAATAGCCCTCCTAGCGCTCTGTTATGCAGGAGACGTGAGCCAATACTTCAACCACGTCAGTATTCTACGCACTGCTTAGAGAGCGCTTGAATGATATCTTCTTAATATAGTTAACACGCACAATATTTAGCTCGAATGCGAAGCACTGGTCTTTAAAATTTATGGTCAATATATGGTTAGAAGTTACAATAATAGATGAGTGAAAGATGCAATGGAGTGAACCTATGGAGAATCTCAAGAGCACGAAGGCCCTTCCAGGTCGAGTACCTACAAGGTGAGCCAATGTATTTGTCGTTTACGACAGTTAGCAACGATGCATTCGTAATTGGCAACGATTCATAGGTGAGTGAATGCTTTCACACATATGCTGGAAGACCATTATTAAGAGCGACAAAGGTGAAAGAAAGAAGCGCATAAGAATATGCTTGGACTCGTATTACGAGGGCCATCCATCCTACGATCAAAGTAAGTGTATTCCAAGTAAACTATTAAATGGAATCGTCTCTTAGAACCTAATTCGAAGGCGGATATTAGATGGTTAATGTTATCCCAACATGAAATTTCATTGTTTAACGTTTTGTTTTCTGCCTTCTATAATTTTCATGGCAGGTTACTAAGCGAAATACAACCACAACGTTGCTGAGATATTTGCAAAACTCTGGACCGCAGGTGTCTATGGTGGGGAACGAGCGCGCTATTGTCCTTTCCGGGGAGTAACGCGTTCACCACCACACCATGCGAGTCTTCCGTTTCGCCTGTCTCTCAGCTATTTCTATCGATCTTTTTGCCACAGTATTCACCCGTCAGCGGGGTTGACCGATAGAAATAGCTGAGAGACAAGCGAAACGAAGGACCCGCATGGTATGGTGGTGAACGCGTTACTTCCCGTAAAGGACAATAGCGCGTTCGTTCCCCACCATAGACACCCGCGGTCCAGAGTTTTGCAAATATCTCAGCAACGTTGTGGCTGAAATTTCATTGTTATTTCTGTGACAGAGACCGTACAAAGGCGGATACTGTTTGATCGGATTTCAGTTTGCCAATGTGCTTTTTCTGGAATCACCTTCTGGCGTAGGATTCTCGTACAACACGAATAACAATGTGACCACTAACGACGATGATGTCGCTCAGCACAACTACCAAGCATTGGTGAGACATCTGCCCCCACATTTTTCTTTTTCTAGTCATTTTTACTTCAAATTAAAACGCGAAATGGAAGTGAAAACAAGTTGAATTTTGGACTTTTACAAATTCTGCGCAGTTTTTTTATCGGTATTGAATGAATTTAGAGCGAATCTTGTGTTCCAAAAGTTTTTTACCCACCTATTAGCAATTTTTCTGTGATCTAAAAGTTGGTGAAGAATTTTTCGCGGAAGATCCAGCTGCTTTCGTTTGTGAAAGGTAGACCAAGCGAACAAGGTGAGGAATGTAGGAGGGCTTTATTATGCAACTATTTAACAAAGCCGGAAAAAATTAGCACGTTCACTCGATTGTTAATCGTTAATGTAAATGGATTTTAATTCAAACAACTGGACAGGTAGATTTCCTGAGGAAATTTCCCGAATATCATGGACGAGCCACCTACATAACGGGCGAATCCTATGGTGGGGTGTATCTTCCAACTTTGGCTGTCAGAATGATCAATGATTCTGCCAATTTTCCAAATTTCAAGGTGAACACAACATTTTTCCTTCATATCGACAGTTTTTTTCGTTCATCTAGATTTCGTTTAATAAATTCATTATACCTTCAGGGTGTTGCTATTGGAAATGGAATACTGAGTTTTGCTCTCAATTACGCCACCTCGATTCCGCTCTTTTATTATCACGGACTCATCAGAGACGAGTACGTTCGCTTTTCCGCTTTGGGTGTGGTTTCGGAACACAGAATTTATTTTGGTCTCTTGCAGACTCTATACTAACTTTTCGTCCACATGTTGCAGAGGAAACATCGAAACCTGTAACATCGCTGCCGCATTTAGTAATCCACTATGCTCAGAGCTCTTATCGGAGGTGTGTTGATAAGCTTGATCTTGAACGCCTGATCTTTCAGTAGTTCGTGTTCTAGATATTCGACGCAACAGAAGACTTGGATCCCTACAACCTCTACAGTACATGTTATTTGACAAACTCCGCCCACAGAAAGGCGCACATTAAACGATTCTTTAGAAAGACGATGAACCTTCCTGCAAGAAAAGACAAAGACAAGTCATCCGTAAGTCGGTCCATACGTTGTTTCTCTCTCAAGGGTGATTGCCCCAAATGATGAAGGCAGATATTTCATCTGTCATTTCTTGCATAATGGTGTTCTGGAGCAATTATATGTAAAGACAAGAAGCATATGTGAGCACCACTCTTACCAGTCAATAACTTTTTATTCGGTCTCGAAGTCAGGAAAATTTCTATGAGATTTCAGCATGTACCTTTGTGCGATCAAACTGGAAACACGCAACACTATCTGAATCGAGTCGATGTTCGCAAAGCTTTGCATATTCCGACATTTCTACCCAAATGGAGCGATTGCAGGCAAGGATGATAACCGTATTTATTGGCCATTCGTTTCTTACTGCTGCCAATATTCATTATTTTTACCATTTCGATAATCGACACCGAACATAGTGCGTTGTGGTATTTGAACTTTTGACTTGTGAGATCTAAAGTCCCATGATCCCATTCCTATCTTCAACTTCTCGATGATGGGTCCGAAAGCGCTAACCTCATCTTTGCCTTGGTTGCATAGCATTCAGGACTATAAAGAATAATCTATCAAGATCAAATCAACGTAAAAAATCCATTTTTCATGAAATGGATAAAATTGTTCTTCCCACGTTTTGTCGTAGACGAATCATCGGCGAGGGATATCGCAGTTGGTCTTATCCGTTCTTTCTCGATTGCTTGATGTTGTAAGAGCGATATCTTCAGAAAAGGCGTAGTGGTATAGCTGCGGCTGTAGACTCTCTTTTCAACGCTGTCTCATTCCAGCTTTCGCCTAATGTTTTCAAGAATGACGTTGAACAATTTTAATGAGATGGCATCGTCCTCTATAACCACATCCTTTACAGTAACGATTATGTCATTGTCAAATTATGAAGTCCTGCAAGTTGTTTATGGATCTTGAAGAGTTTTGGTATAGTTGGAGAGAACGTCTTTTTCTCAAAAATTTTATTAACGCGTCTGTTATAGCTGAGCCAACAACTTTCTTCGAGTTCATAGAACCAAAAAAAAAAAATAAAGTGGCAAAGTTGAACAGCAACAATTGTCGTGAACGTTTCTATGCATTCACAACAATGCAGTCTAACGCATTTCCATTATACAAGTGCCATGCCTTCTAGACGGCAGCGTGTGAGAACTGCGTCAATATATTTTCTTGGACTATTGAGCTAACATGAAGTTCTTTCTGCTGTTCCCCTCCACTGGACTAGGCTTAATGTGATGGCCGAAAGCGTAAGATACGAATATCATGGACACCTGAATCATTACCTCTTCAAAGAAAACAACAGCACTAGGGCGTTAGCCGGATAAAAATTTCATTACAATCTTTGTTGGTTAGCTTAATAGCTGAAAAAGATATATTGCTTATTCAAGCTGAGCTTGAGTGAAAGTCGGTTTTAGAACCTTGTCAATATCTTTATAAGCACTAACGAGGCTATTTAGGTCAACCGATCTCCTTGTGACGAAGTGTTGAACGATTTCATCGACAACATTACACATCTGATCTCGATTAATGAGAATCTTTTGAACAATCCATCTAATTTTGGGCTGAGGAATTGGTAGACTGTCTATCACCGGTTTAGAAGAGCTGGATGGGCAGATGTTGTTGCCTAATTATCTTGCAAATCACGCTTTCTCCTCGAAAGTAGTTTTGAGATTCTGTTTCCTGTAGTGTTTTGTACTAGGAGAGGAGCCTTGTAAAAGGAAACAACGATGCAAGTGTATGTAAAGATCTGGTAAAATAATGGCATAAATCAGATAAAACGGATGCTAACGAAGTGAGTTTTATTAGAAGGTATGGCTTTCTGGACTAGTCATGGATCAGATTTATTGAAAGGGATTCTTAACTGTCTTCCACGTGCATTCCAAAGACGTGATGGCTTCTCGGAATTACCGTTCGAAATATGACTTGCAAACCTACACGCGTGGGTGTTCTTAAATATGGACAGAAGGTGCAAGTCACTTCGAACCAGCATAGGGAAGAACTCATCCGTAGCATGCAATTGTTTTTTGAGGTAAGCGTAAAGGATTGCTCCAAGTTTTATCATCTACTTGCCACTAGGAGGTGCCGTGTCGTCTTGGTGAAACGGAACATATCCCTTCATACGAACAGATCAAGAGGAATGTTGATGAACATTTAACTAAAAGGCTTCATGTACATTGAGGAGGACCTCTGGCAATTATAACATATTCTGTCCTTGAGTGTGTTTCTTTCCTTTCAGCGAAGAGGTAATGGACACCTACGTAACCACTCACTACGAAATGTCGCCAGAAATCGAGCAGACCAGTGCTGCTGGAGTAAAAGTGAGTCAGTCATTCAGCTTATTTAGAAGGTGGTTTTTCTCTTTTCCCTTTTTCTAATATCGTGGTTCGAGCAACCACTGCAGACCGTCTTTTTTTCCCTTGTGTACCGACACTGCTGTATTGTGCCGAGTTAGCCGTAATGGTCCTTCGGGATAGGTTCTTCTCCACCACATATCACACTACTTAAGAGCTATCTTAGAGCATCCTTAACGTCGCTATCGATTGACAGCCACAATGTTTTTTTCTTTAGCTCATTACGAAGACCGAAAGAAGCATAGTTGTTAAGTATGCCAAGGAGAGTAAAGCTATGTGCAGGTTTCCAGAAAAAAGCCCACACGACCAACATTCGAGGACATTCTTGAAAAAGGCAAAGTTCTCAGGTGGTAATTAACCCCAAGCCAAATCTGAAGCCATTTTTGATTAAGGATGGAAGCCAACCATGTGCTGACATCTGCAGAGTGTGTGATTTCGCTTCATGCAGGTTTTAAAAAATCGTACATAGCTCTCTTCGTTTTAAACACTTCGGCTGGCATTTTTAATAGGCTTTTTCTTTGCTAGTAATTTACTGGTTTCCACCTTTACTTAACATTAACGTGGATGTATTTGCTGTAATCCGTGATGATTATCCAGTGGTTCATCACGACACCACTGCGATCTGCATTGTTCGTTGCACAATTTCTTTGCTTAGGAAACGGAAAAAAGGTTTAAAATCATATTTCCAGCGCCATTACATAGCCAGATCGTTATTCATTTTTCGATACATTCACGACGTAACCGCTGTCATTTGGCAGTAGAACATTGTGGCCAATATGATCTTTAAAAGAAACGTCACTTTGTTCCTAATGCTTTACTTTGGCGCAAACGACTATTTTCTCACACTTTTGCAATCCATCGATACGTTGACCAGATATTGTGACGAGCATCAACCGGGAAAAACGCGCTTCTCCACCTAAACGGAAAATTTTTTTCTCGAACAAATCCACTGGCCAGAAAGTGGGTTTGCAGAAAATTGCAACTTCAATTTTAATCGTCATAATGAATCATACTTCCCAACAGTTTACTGCCTCATCGTGGCTGGGAGGTGTTCTTGGGTGTCGGACTGCTGTGTACAGTGGGGTATTCATCCTCTGGCAGGGTCTCCCAAGCTGAGGAGTCCGACGTTTCCATCAGGAAGTCTAGCTAAGAGTAAACCAATACCACCATCCACCACCGTCCTGGTATCAAAGTCGCATGGTGGCAAATCCCTCTCTGATCCACAAGGGCGGCGACTGCCTGTGGTGGGGAAGACCTGAGCAGACTTTGGCTACGCTGACCTCGGGACTCCAGGGAACCATAATAGCTTAACCAGCAAGTCCCCGAGAAATGGAGATTATGCTGGGGCCCGCGCAACCTGTGAGGACGGGCCATTCAAGTATCAAGTAAGTTATGAATCATAGATATCATATGGATTAGACGACAATGAAGAATGCAGAAAGAGACTTAACTTAAGGCGAAAGTTCTTAAAAATGCCGACACCTATGTATTTGTGTTTTGGCACGTAGTAGAGCATAAAGGATAAAAAGGATAAACCTCTCAGCGTTGATCAATCCCTGAGGGTTGCTCCATGCATTCGACTTCATTAAGTATCGTTGGAGGTGAATGAATGCATATCTGGTATTTACAATGACCCGCGGTGGCTAACCGATGTATCGAACCAGTGCTGCTATCCTCCCAGACAAGTCTGGTACCAATTTGCCGACCGCGGAAGATAGAGGGCTTGGTAGGCCGTGGGCGCTGGGATCGACTCTACGTGTGTGTCGCAGTGCCGCCTCCAACCACTGCAACATACGCGCCCTATACGTAGTAAAGTAAATAGTAGATAATACCATGTACCCCACTCACGGCCATAGAGCGATAAGGCAAAGGTATTTTCTACTAACCTGTCAAGTTCACATCCTCTTTAATAGTCTAATAGTCGAAAAACTGCCATTTATCCTAACCCTTTTATTTACTGCCTTTTTTTTCTTTTTATTGGCAGGGTATGTTGCGAAATATAACTCGTATATAATGCTGAGATATTTGCAAAACTCCGCACCGTAGGTGTATGCGGTCCGGAGTTTTGCAAATATCTCAGCATTATATACTGCCATTTATTTTTAAAAAAGCAGCAGGTGTATAACAGCCGAAAACTGGCAGCGCTACCCATGAGAGAATAGGGGTCGTCGCAAAAGTGCTAATGTCATGCGGTTCAGGTCGGTTAAGGTGTGAACTGAGCTCCTTAGCACTATGCTGTTCTCACTGACATTGTCGTTGGTTACAATTTGAGCGTTTAGAAGAGCGTGGAGTGAACAGCTACCGCATAACCCACTATTGATGACATGAATCGAGTTTGACTCGAAAAATTTTTCGCATTCTACTCTTATTGCTTAGGTCGATTTTTGGAAGATTTCAGATCCTTATCTACAATGGAGACGTGGACACTGTGTGCAATCATGCGATGAACAGACAATTCCTTAGCAAACTCAATAGGAGAATTTTGGTTCGGCCATTTTCCATCGAGTTTTCGTGGGTTTCTACAGTCTATTTGGCTTTATTTTCAGGGAGAAGAGCGAGCGAACGAGCCGTGGTCTTACCTAAATGAAAAACCGTCGATTGCCGGATTTCAGCTTAAATACGAAGGAGGTGAAGTTTGCCAGATACCTTATCTTCAACAATTCCTACGCGCAATTTTAAGCTATTTTTTGTATATAATTACATTTACAGGAATTGATTTCATAACAGTACGCGGCAGTGGCCACTTTGTACCGGCGGACAAACCACGAGAGTCTCTTCAAATGATTTATAATTTCGTTACCGGTCAAGATTATTCACTACCGGCTCCTTTCTAAGATTTTGCTGGAATGAACTGTTAACGGTACACCTAAAACACAGAAGATTACTGTTTGAAGGATAAAAACAGTCAGAAACAAGCTCTTTGTCAAAAGCCTTTAACAATTTTTTGTTGAAAATCCTGAATTAATAGATAAGACTTGTTTTTTATGTCAAAATAGAACAATCATGTGCTCGAAAAGCTCACTTGCTGTATAGATGTCAAGCAAACCATGTCCCAGGTTCGATCACGCCCCACCTTGTGCAAACCTCCAACCTCATAGATGGCGGCGAAATGATACTAAACAACTTTCTGAGTTGTGTCCTACCATTAGTTTGCTTTTCTTGACTTCATCAGCAACATTTTCAAGCACTTCAGCAGACATTACATACACTATCAAACAGATGCGCCAAGTATATTAAACTAACTAGATACGACCTTTCTTCGACTAGATTATGCTCGTGAACTATTTTTTTTTTGAGATGAGGCTAGGTTCTTAACACATATTTTGCTCTTTGATAGTTTACGCTTCAGTCAGTTTACCTTCTTGGGAAGGTTCTATGCATTTTCCATAATCTTCGATGCATCTCTCTAAACCTTGCGCTGTGATAAAAAAACCATCAATAAAAGGGCATCAATGAGTGAGGATGCCTCATTCGAGAAGATGGCTCGCTGAGGAAGATCTGGCTCGACAGGAAGGCGAAGACGCAACGTCGAGGCGAACAACAGGCATGGACCATCGACTCGGATCACCGGCTCTGAGGAAGACGAAGACGTCGAAACGTTAGCCGAAAATAAATATATTTATCAACCTCGTGCAAGCTTATCAAGAAAGAATACATATAAAAAAAACCGTTTATCATCCAGCCGTGGTGCTACGGATTTGTGAACATTTCAACGATATGTTCAATTATTTTTCTTTGCTTCTTCTACACAGCGAATTTCTACGTCCACAATAACTCGTAACAACGATTAAGCGCAATATCAGTTACTGGGCTGTTTTGTAGTACATTTATTTCCGTACATACCGTACTTCTCATAGCGATTGCACAGGAACCATGAGAATCAAAAATGGATTCACATCTTAACTTGTAATGATATTGGCTACTGTTAACACCAGAAGAGCCAGGATATCTATAATATTTTGACAAAATGCATTTGCATGAAAGTCTAAGGTTTAGGTGTCTTCGAGTTTGCTTCACACGACTGCACGTCCTCGGCTTTCAGTCACCAACCTCTAAGAAAATGGCTCAATAGAAGACGGAGTCAATGTATTTGCTTATGTGAAGAATCGAATTGATTTTATCTACTGCAGTACATACCCCACGAG